GCCTTATCAAAAGGAGTTAATATATAGATTTATTCATATTATGAGTGAGTGAGTTTAGTTTTACGCCGCACTCAGCAATATTCCAGCTATATGGCGGTGGTCTTTAAATAATCGAGTCTGGACCAGACAATCCTGTGATCATCAACGTGAGTATCGATCTTCGCAATTGTTATTCATATTAAGTATAAATATCGCATAATACCGGCTCATTACAGCAGCATGCATTGCAATGTTAGGTACCCGTATATATATGGACAGACAACTCAGTGCTAATGAGTATCCATAACAAAGTTGCATTGTTAAAACATCGATCAGATGTTATTTATTGCGATTATTTAAATATATCACTTGAACCGGTCAGAGAAACAGAAAAATCACAATGTCAGCATAAAATTGACAACTTATTTGAAATTTGAATTGGGTTATTGTTGACTTGCATCATTGTACAATGAGCAGCAGTTTCTATCTTAACACACAGACATAAACCCAACAGTCTATGATTAGCTCTCTGTGCACATGCCAAATACTACTTTCCTTGAAACTATTTTTGTGTAATTATGTGAAATAAGTTGCGAACGTTGGCACATTGTGACATATTCCAGTGTTAAGTTCTCCATATCTTACCTGTTCACGTTAAGTCTTTGGCAAGTGAGATGAGGTGAGGCAATTTAACCTGATCATGTCATTTAATGACAATCATTCTTCAAAATATAGGAGCTTTTTCAGGATGAGTGAGTGGGTCCAGTTTTAGCTGCTTTTAGCAATATTCGTGCAACATTATGACAGGGAACACCAGAAATGGGCTTCACACATTGTACCCATGTGAGAAATCGAACCCACGTCTCTTCCGAAAATATTTACAGATTTTGCTGGAAAAAAATACAATTTGTCTTTTTTCGGAAGTATACAATGGTAAGAGGATTTTTGTTTTCCATGGGGCATAAATTTCCACAACATGGAAAACTGAGATTAGAACATTGTATTATTTGAATAAATAATCAGGGCAGATTGGAGATGGGAAAGATAAAAATATATGTACAGCCTATAAAAACAATTATTTCACATGACCTTGTATTCAAATACTTGTAAACATTTAAATTCTTTTCCAAAACATAAATTGTATTTATATATTTGTTTTGTCTCATTATGATTATACTTGTATGTGAGTGAGTGAGTTAAGATTTAATGTCACATCGGCAATATTTCAGCCATATATACTTGTATGTAATTTGCTTAATACTGAATTTCGTTTTTAAGTCTGAAACTACATCCCCTATATTGAAGAATGCCACAAAAGTGGCATGATCAGGTTGTACATAAATATCTAATGAATAGCAGCACCAGTGGCAATAATGGCAAATGTTTATCCTGCTCTGTTGCCATGGAAACATCCAGAATCGTGAAATCGAAAATATTACGAATTCTCTAAACTCTTCAAGTGTTATTACATAATAAATGAAGAGGATGTTTCCATAACAACTGTTGTGTTTACAGCAGCATAAATGACAAGATCAGTGATAGGACAAAGCTCCAGCCAATCAGGGCCCTGCTTCCAGAGCATGTTGGAAGTGATGACTCTCTTGCTGTAGTTCCTGCGGGACGACAGGCTACAGCTGCATGTGTGGGAATTATGGTATCACTGCTGGGTACTGTCGTACTTGAGTCTGTGGAAACAACAACATATTATGACTATGACATTTAAATTATTTTTTTTTTAAATGTGTAAAATTAGGATTGAAAAAAAGAAGAAGAAATATATAACAGAACTTTCTTCCTGAGTGCAATTAAATGTACAAATATATAGAAATGGGAAAAAAAACCCAAACATTATATATAACAAAGTGTCTAATTATCAAGATATGTTCACTCCATGTTCAGTGTTTAGAGTCAGGGTACCATTGTACAAGCTTTGCTATGACTGTGTGTTAAGGGATAAGGTGTGGTGGGGTAGCCTAGTGGTTAAAGCGTTGGCTCATCACGCTGAAGACCCGGGTTCGAATCCCCATATGGGTACAATGTGTGAAGCCCATTTCTGGTGTCCCCCGCCGTGATGTTGCTGGAATGTTGCTAAAAGCAGCGTAAAACCAAACTCAGTCAGTCAGTCAGTTAAGGGATAATAGTTATGATCATCTTAGCGTCAAGATTGCACTGATAAGTGAGTGGTTATAACTTCTGATCTGGGCCACTTGGATGGCATGGATAACTGCTGATTGTTGGATTTAGACTTATATCATAAATACTGCTCTCTGTGCAGAGTGAGTCCATTTGGTATCCCACATGTCCAAATCCCAGATTCTCCTCAATTCTCGTTCTTGGTTTTTCCGCACATATAGTTTCACCTTTAGTTTAAAGGATAGGTGGTGTTGGTGAGTGGGTGGGATACGTTTGTTTGCTTTTGTTTTGTTTATTGTTTAACGCCTCATTCAGCAATATTCCAGCTATGACAGCTGTCTGTAAATAATTGAGTCTGGTCCAGACAATCCAGTGATATCATAAGCATTTATCTACATTTGGTTATAACTTCCAAAATTTTCATGCAATGACTGAAAGAAATGCATTGCATTAGTGAAAAAAAACTTTGTCAGTGTAAAACAGTAGTTTATTAGACAGGTATGTTTTGGGTAAGTGCAATCTGCTGTGACCTAAGTAATACCATATGAAGGGGCATAATGGCAGGGAATTACGAACTACACAAAGTCTCACTGACCTGAGTGTGTAGACTGTGTTGATGTGTGCATGCAGTATTGGTCTTTGCGTAGTGTGGTGAAGTGTTGGACAGATTTGTCCCCCTCCCTGTCACTGCTGCGGGCGCTGATCTGAACGCTGTAGTGTCTCCCCTCGCTCAGCCCAGTCAATATCAACTCTGTTATATTCTGAAACATTAGAGTTATGTACGATTGAAATAATTAAGACTTTTAGAGAGTAAAAGCAAGGTTTAACCTAGATTTGGTGCATACACTGAACACCTAGGTCTTGAGTCTCTTCTAGGGTAGGAGAGAGAGAGAGAGAGAGAGAGAGAGAGAGAGAGAGAGAGAGAGAGAGAGAGAGAGAGAGAGAGAGAGAGAGAGAGAGAGAGAGAGAGAGAGAGAGAGAGAGAGAGAGAGAGAGAGAGAGAGAGAGAGAGAGAGAGAGAGAGAGAGAGAGAGAGAGAGAGAGAGCATTAAATTGCTAATGTTACTGATGGCTGAACAGTCTCCATTCAAGATACACATTTACTTGAGTATGTCTGCTTAGATGTAGACATGAACTCACCCCTGAGATGATTCTTTCCTCTGGATTTTTGCTATATACAACTTGTCGTGATGTCGGCGGAACAACCTGACTCTTCCCCCACAACACTCTGTACCCCGTGGTGACCCCACTCCACACCGCCTCCTTCCACACTATCGCAACATCGACGCTGCACCGGTCAACAAGTGGATGGATCTGGATGTCTGGTGGCCGGCCAGGTATAATGGTAACTGGAATATACAAATATGACACAATGTATAAAGGACTGATCATTACTGGCCACAAATATGAGTAACTCCAGTAGTGAGATCTGCACACGTGGTCCACAGACTAATGCTTAGTCTCTCAATATGTACAATTTTGATAGAAGCAAATAAACCTATTTAAATTGAAAAGGAGCCCCAGTGAGATGGGAGATTCTGATGAAATCTAGACTTGCTTCATTTAAGGCTTTAGCATTGCAGTGAGGGCTAGGCAGTAGGGAAAATGATGTGGTTCAGGGACTGTGAGACAGACTGAGGTGGTCAAGTACACAAGGAAATGCAGTTAAATGTGAACCCAGTCTTATATCAGCTCACCTACTCCAACTACAAGGAATAGAGTTGTTTGCTGGTGTCTTCAAGGCTATATGTATTGAAGCAAAATCTGTCTGAAAACCGGTTATTTATTTGCATTGGTAATTGAACCATATGCTGCCCCCCCAACACCCCCAATCAGTATTCAATATTTTATCCTTAATATATACACTGTATTCAATATACATTTTCTTTACTTTTATTGATTACTGAGAATAAACTTTGCTCCAATGTCGATGAATGTGGCTTGGTAATTTATAATAGAAGCCTGTGGTTTTTGTGAAAAATCTGCAACACAAATTATGGACTGTCATGCAAACTTTCAGGCCAACAGGTTGTTTACAAAGAATCCTTGCAGACTGATGAAACATTGTTCAGAGTCACTTACTCAAGACGGGCATTAATTCAGCAAATACAATAATTCCAACATTGAAACTGAGGCATAAGGAACCTTATTTGACTTCTTTGAGAAGCGCATAGAAGTTGGATTACTCAGGCAATAACATATGGATGGACAACGTTTTTATTACAATAGGAGCAATGTTTCAGTGTAGGTTCTAACACCGTCATCAAGCAAGTGATGAGTCTGTTGATGGTTGTGAATGCCACGTCTCCATGGAGATGACGAATAACTTCTTCGAGAGGCTTTTTTAAAATTTGGAGTAGTTAGGAAGGATAAGATATATGGATGTACAGTACACAACCCTGTGCACTTAAAAGAACCCACGAATCCGTTGGTATATGACCAGATGGTGGCCACATGAATACGTGCAAACACCTAGTTGCGGGTACAGCAACGTGTAGTAAACCTGGACAAAGTACTGTGACTATGTGTCCCAGTCCACCCAGCTGTGAATGGGTACCTCGTCAGGATGAGAAAGCCACAATAACTCGGTGCGCCTTGAGGCAGCAAGAGTTGTATACTCCCCAGGGAGTTGAGATTGATAATACGATGAGCCGTTGAGATTGACATCCAATGATCGAGGGGAATAATAACAGCTCTATATAAATATCCTATAATAATACTAAATAATAATAGTGATATACATGGATGATAGCAAGTGATAATATAGAAGTTATTCATCCATATATCTTATATTTCCCTAACTCTATCTGAGATGCCATAACTCTATGTATGATTAGCTTGTACCTTTCTTGGGGCACTGCGGCCTGACGTTCCCTTTGACCTTGATGTCAACACAGTGGGGGGTGGAGAAACTGGCTACTGATGCTGCCAGCTCCTCCCCAAATGCATTGATTGGTCGGACTTGGACGGTGTAGTTGCAGCTGTAGTGTAGGTTGTAGAGGTTGAACTCCTGATCCTGGGAACAGTTACATCATGGCTGTAATACCGTATCAACAAAACATTCTACACCTCGTATTTCCGCTTCATCTCCAAATATACTGATGGAACGAATGGGGATATGAAAATAGAAGTGTTCATTTATTTATTCTCAGATTTTCACCCACAGTGCAACACAAAGTATGTGAAAAACACTGGAAAAAAATAAAGGAACACTTGTACTTTTATTTGTTACCTAATTTATTTCCATCAGTATATTTTAGATGAATGGTCAATAGCTCCAAGAACAAATGGATTTATCTTATTGCTATTTCCTTATTTATTTTTGTTGACACCCCATGGATTGGTATTACTACCAATATGATCTTCACATTCACAATGTGACAATCCATCCCTCGTAACTTATTCCATGGACAATATATCTAAAGCTTCGTCCTTTGTCCCTGACACACGGTGAGTGAGTTTAGTTCCTGATTCAGCAATATTCCAGCTATACTGTGTCGGTCTGTAAATAATTGAGTCTGGACCAGACAATCCAGTGACCAACAGCATGAGCATCGATCTACGCAATTGGGAACCAATGACATGTGTCAACCAAGTCAGCGAGCCTGACCACCCGGTCCTGTTAGTCGCCTCTTACGACAAGCATATGGGTTACTGAAGATCAATTCTAACCCGGACCTTCACGGGTACCCTGATACACAGACTCCATGACGTCCATGATAAACTGACGGTTTGCATGTTTATAGCTCACAAATCCAAGGTAAACAGGAAAATCTGGTGTCTTTGTCCCATACTTCCAACATAAGGCAAATAAAATTAAACATTTTTGTTGTTCAAAACAAAAAGGAAACATCAAGCAGCAGGTACGTACATGCGTGGTGGCACTCAATTCTGGATGGTGGAAGTTCCTTCTGTCACCAAGGCGGTCACAGCTCACTGCCCGTACACAATATACTTCTCCAGTCTCTCCTCTGAAAGACAAACGCTTGTTCATAAATCTGGAACAGATCAGCCTTATACTAAAACAAATGTTATGCATGTATATGAGAATCCACTTTCTCAGTAAAGTACAGATTCTAGTACTTTTATTAGGTTGAGTCCTGGCTCATGTGTTACATGTGTTACATTTGACCACTTTCTAAATGGCAATGTGTATCATAGCCTTATACTAGTCTATGTCATAATTGGACTTCTTACTCTCTTAGTAATACGGGGCGGTGGGGTAGCCTAGTGGTTAAAGCGTTCGCTCGTCACGCCGAAGGCCCGGGTTTGATTCCCCACATGGGTACAATTTGTGAAGCCCATTTCTGGTGTCTCCTGCTGTGATATTGCTGGAATATTGCTAAAAACGGCGTAAAACCCAACTCAGTCATTCAGTCATTCAGTCTTAGTAATACCATCAACATTGCTATATTTCGGCCTGAGTCTTTCTCCGATTACATCTTACTGTTGCAATACTGCTGAGTGTGGCATCAAATAAACGCATACGCATGACACTCACTCCGAGTGTGCAATGGACTCTGCTTTTATCAGTGATTTCTTTACGGATATGGAAAGGGTTCTGACGGTGACATTTCTATTGAGTGTGTACGAAGCAACACTTTTCATCCATCAAAGTCTAGAAAAATCCTCCAACCTGTGACAGTCCTCCATTCGATCCTGGTCTTCAAGACGCCACTGTAGTAGAAACTCTGGTCCACTGTGATGTTGTACACAACAGAGTTATCTGATACCCACGGCTTCCGGGTCACATGGTCTGCAAGAAGGGAACATCGTATATTACTTAACCTGCACAACAGGGATAAGCTTATTGTTATGACGAAATCTTGCATGGAATATGTTCCAAAGAAATACTCTTATATTTTTGAGTTTAAGGAACTGGCTGTACGGTTCAGAAAATAACTTAACTCTTTTAATAATTGTCCTGATTTTTTTATAGATAACTGACAAGGGAAAACTTTATCACTATTAGGCCAGACCAATTCTATTTCTTGTTTTACGGATCCACCGGTCGTATTTTTTCAAGAATAAGAGAAAAAAAATTAATTAATTTTCCCCGCTCAAAAAATAAAATCCTAATGTTTTTATTGGCCAAAAGTATAAACTTACAAGAAACTTTTTTTAGATTGTTTTTTTGTCCCATATACACCTCATAAATTGCCAAAAGTAAAATACTTTTAGCATTTTAAAGGATTTTTTGCATTCCCTCCTGCCATTAGGGTTTTCTGAGGAAAAAATATCCGTAAAACGAGAAATAAAATTGGTCTGGCCTTAGTATAAAAATATAAAACATATATCTCATCAGATAATGGATGAAAGGATATATAATGTCCACACCACTGCAATGAGAAATAATTATAACTTATATGAAATAATTAAATACTTTTACAAATTACTGTGAAAATATTAAATATTCTACACTTAAAAAACAGACTTTACCTTGTTTTCCCACACTAGCCCCCACCTCACCATATAACCAGTTTATAAATAATGTTTTAAGTATATTTAGACCTAACAAAGCAAACTGGTTAGCGAAACTGCAACTTACCACAGCATGCCTGCGTTGGTGGAGAGTATGTGACAATATACATTGATGCCATTCTTCCCTTCTGTATCCTGTTCCGCCAGCGCACAGTGGCGTATACCTGAAACAAACAGTGTGTTGACAGGCGATAAGTTGAAGAAGTGTTATATTTGTTTATATAAAGAATAGATTCTTGAACTTGTTTTTAGTTGATTCCCTCTCGAGAATCAACCCACACTTTCAGAGTGAAGCTCCAAATCACATGAAGTGAAGTCAGCGATCCATCCCACTCAGATTGAGCCTCAACTAAAAAACAAGTACTAGAATCTGAACTTCGTAATCCAAAATATAACATATGTTTCATTTGATCACTTCCAAAGAGCATTGTGTATTCATAGGTTTAACTGCATATAAATATTCTTTAAGGTATTGTACTAACTACAGTCGAGCCCTGTTTACATGGCCTTCCATACGGCATTTTAGTGAAACAAACCTTTTCTTCTTTAAATATACTGACATACTCGGACCCCGCGCTTCTGGACCCGGACGATGATTTTTCAGTCCCTATTACTTCCATTGAGAGTTGACCCAATTACCCAGAAGGCTTACTTACTGACAGTAAGGAGCATGTGTGTGAGTTAATGCTTACCTGACAACTGATTATTGTGTTCACTGCTATCAAAATTTGGAAGAAGCCCTGTATCTTTGGATTATCGATATGAATTGTAAACATGCAGCAGTAAATGATGCGATGATTGTTGAAAAAGCGGAATTAAACCAACAAAACAGACTAGGCTCAGGGACTTCTTTACTTCATAAAGGCACATGAACGTACATTGTACGTTTATCTACAGCATGGATTCTAGTGCTAAGTGCAGTTTACATGTTTATGTTTACCAATCCTATTACTGATGGTTGTTGTTGTTTATCACCTGTTTATTATTATGTGTGTGCTAAATACGTAAATCGGAAACATTAAATCTTCATTGTGCAACTCCCGAACATGTTTCTTGGTAAATTCAAATAGCCGGACAACTAGCTATCTGGACGTTACTAAAATGTCCATGCAAACAGGGCTCGACTGTACTACCCATGAAGGTCCGGGTTAGAATGAGCCTTCTGTAACCCATGCTTGTCGTAAGAGGCGATCAGGTGGTCGGGCTCGCTGACTTCTTTGACACATGTCATCGGCTCCCAATTTCGCAGATCGATGCTGGTGCTGTTGATCACTGGATTGTCTGGTCCAGACTCGATTATTTACAGACCGCCGCCATATAGCAGGAATATTGCTGTGTGCTGCGTAAAACTAAACTCACTCACTCACTCGACTGTACTTACTGTGTGACAGTAGTTAAGACTAAAGTAAAACAATGGACAAGACAGAGGCTATACACATCTTCATCTTTCACCTTCCAAAAGGAAGCACGTCGAAAACCCGGGTTCGATTCCCCACATGGGCAAAATGTGTTAAGCCCATTTCTGGTGTCCCCCGCCGTGATATTGCTGGAATATTGCTAAAAGCGGCGTTAAACTAAACTCAGTCAGTCTAAAACGAAGACTTACTGTCCAGGTTACATTGGATACTCTAACTGTGAGCAATATGAACCAGCTAAATTTCATACATACCTGTACAAAGTATCTGCTTCCTGGTTCAAGATTTCTCAGCAAAAACTTGTGTTTATTCTGAAAGAACATCACTGCACAGTCAGGGTTAAGGTAACACATAAAACTTTGAATTTTTAAAACCAAAAACACATCATCTGTGATGGATGAAAGAAAGATGATAAAATATTCTGCCAAAGTTACCTATAAAGTTCAGTTCATATTAGGTGATATATAGAGTTAATTAAAAACCTTAACTCCCTGAAAATGTACAATATGTGTGAGCATTTTATCAGTTCACATATGTTCTGTATGCTTAAACTTCTAGTATCTGTCCAAAGTATGTCCTAAAGTAGAAGAGTTGTACATAGGCAAAATAGCATGGAAGGTTGTTGATTTCACAATATTACACATCAAATCAGTGCCTGTAGCAACTTACCGGCTGTAACTTGTACTTTAACATATTCACTCTTTGATAATTAGCACTGGACTGGGGCAGTCCTTCACTACGCATCACCTGTGGGAGGAAACAACTAAGTGAGAATCAAGCCCTTGTCAATATATTTTTTGAAACTAGAAATTTGGCCACAAAAATAAAAATCAGAAAAAATAATACTTTCTTTGTAAATATATTTATGATCAAAAGATCTGTTGTTAAATTTTGTTTCAACTTTGGTTGCTAACCTCAGCGAATACTGTAAATGTTAAGTATCTGCCTGCAGTCTCTCAGCTTAATGACAAGGCCTACCCTGAATCATGGCTTAAAGATTTGTTGAAAATTTTATAACTTTTTTTGTTGCTTAATGCAGCACTCAGCAATATTTCAGCTATATGAGAGCAGTCTGTAAATAACTGAGTCTGGACCAGATTATCCAGTGATTGACATCATGAGCATTGCTCTCCGCAGTTGGGATACAATGACATGTGTCAACCAAGTCAGCGAGTCTGAACGCCTGATCCCGTTAGTCGCCTCTTACAACAAGCATGGGTTACTTAAGACAAATTCTAACATGGATCCTTATTGGTTGATAGCAAGTAAGGTGAGTTTACTGTAGAGTGGAAAGGTCAACTTACAATATATCTGTTGATGGGAAGTCCATCGGTGCGATGGGGTGGCTGCCACAATATCTCAACATCTACCTTCCCATCATGCACAGTGGAATCGCCTTCCTCAAAGTTGGCTGGAGGGGAAGGCTTCGTAAATTCTGAAAAATAACATTTCATACAATTATTTAATGAAACATGTTGTATAATGACAAAGAATTTATAAATATGTCTTGATACTCTTAGTTTAATCATGTAAATGATAAAACAAATTATAAAAGAGAAATCAAATTAAAGGGAGGCAACTCAGGTTGGAGTAACTGATTTGATTCAAGTCTCAGGTGTTTCAAAAATGGCATATCATAGTTCAAAACATAGTACTCTTTTGTGAAAAGGAATCCACCATTTACTAATGAAGCATAAAGAAGCATAATGAAGCATAGAATATCATGGATAACAACTTTTTGTTTATTACATAGAGTACATACTGTTGTCAAAGTTTATCTTCTGTTTGTGAATTAGTGAGTGAGAAGTTGAGTTTTACGTCGCACTCAGCAATATTCCAGCTATATGATGGCGGTCTGTAAATAATCGAGTCTGGACCAGACAATCCAGTGAACAACAGCACGAGCTTCGTGCTGTTTGTCATAACATACTATGTATATATTCTTCTCATCACTTGGTTGTAGTCACCCTTAGATTGATAACGATTAACGATCTACACTGAAACTTCACTCAATGCAATAAACAAGAAGTTGTTATCCATAAAGTTGAATGCTTCATTACTGACTCACCAACTTCTAGAATGGTGACCAAACAACAAACATTTACTATCATGATACATGACAATTGACTGTAGATACATGAACATGAAACCCTGCACACAGGCGAAAACTGTACATAGGAGACATGCATGAAGTTAACTTATTGTCAACTTCTTGATGTACCTTTGGTATGTTACCTGTGAAGGTCCGGGTTAGAATAATGATCTCAGTAAACCATGCTTGTTGTAAGAGGCCACTAACCGGATCGGGTGGTCAGGCTCGCTGATGGTTGACACATGTCATCGGTTCCCAATTGCACAGATCGATGCTCATGCTGTTGATCACTGGATTGACTGGTCCAGACTTGATAATTTACAGACCAAAGCCATATAGCTGGAATATTGCGGCATAAAACTCAACTCACTCACTCACTCACCTTTGGTATGTTTGGATACTGAAGTGAATCCCTTGGATCCGTGTATGTTGACTGCTGCTATTATGACGTTCAGCGTACTGGCCGGCACGATCCCTCGCAGCTTCACGAACTTCCGGTCAGTCTGGGTAAAAAGGGTGTAAGTGAATTTGTGAGGCTATACTTTACAGCTTTTATACATGTTTCAGCAATAAAAATGTATCAAACGTCAAAAATGGGCTGAACACCCATGTAAGGAATTGAAACTCAGATGATTAGCGTTTCAGTCAGCCACAAGGGTCCCCACCCTATACAAACAGCTTTTCACACCAAAGACCTGGGTTTGATTTCTCAGCTGGGTACAATGTGTTGAAGCCTATTTCTGGTAACCCACGCTGAGATATTGCTGAAAGATAATATTGCTAAAAGCATCGCAAAACAATACTCGTTAAATCATGAGGCAATCTAATTTGAATTTCTCACAACAATTTTAAGTTCATCATAATGGAAGAAAAATCCTAGCTCTAAGACTGTGTAGGTGGAACCAATTACAGGCACTATCACAGCATTGCCACAGAGATAAGCTAAGGAGCCATCTTTTCAGCATCAATCACAGAGATATGCCAAAGAGTGCACCTGCTCAGCATTGGTGAGGTGAGGTGAAATTGGGTTTAACGTTGCGCTGGAGAATATTTCGCTCATATGACGACGTGCATGCATTTGTATGTGTAGGTGCGGCTGCTTGTACTAGCCCAGACTGAAGCTGGTTTTATAGTGCTAGCCCACTGAGATACCATGCCGCAGTGAAGCATGAATAGCCCACTCAGACACATTATACTGACTCCAAGCCGACCAGTCCTTGTTGTACCCATTAATGCCGAGCGCCAGGCTCATGTACCATATTTTAACGTCTTTTGGTATGACGCGGTCGGGGATCGAACCCGCGACCTTCCGCTCTCCGGGCGGACGCTCTGACCACTACACCACGGAGGCGGTCTGCTCAGCATTGACCACAGAGAGATTCTGAAGAATCTATCTGCTTATTATCAATCACAGAGATCTGAAGAATCTGCAGAGGTATGCTAAAAGAACAATTTGCTCTGAATCGACCGGGGCGGTGGGGTAGTCTAGTGGTTAAAGCGTTGGCTCGTCACGCCGAAGACCCGGGGTTCAAATCCCCACATGGGTACAATGAGTGAAGCCCATTTCTGGTGTCCCCCGCCGTGATATTGCTGGAATATTGCTAAAAGCGGCGTAAAACCAAACTCAGTCAGTCAGTCTGAATCGACCACAGAGATCTTCTGAAGATCCCATTTGGTCAGTATTAACCAAAGAGGTCCTGCTGACTGCACTCACCACTTTGTAGTTGACTCCTTTGCCAGACAGAGTCCGCCACCGAACAACGTAGACAAAGGGTTGTGCAACATGTCGCATCCATCTCCCTTGGGGCAGGTCCCAGCTGATCACAACGCTGCCATCTTTCCTGGTTTCAAACACGATGTTGCTTGGCTTCCTGGGCAAACCTGCAACATGTGTTTTCACAGTAACAACAATGTCCATGAAGTTAAAATGGTATGTGAAACAGTTTGTCGATTAACGCCACAATCAGCACTATTCCAGCTCTGTGGCTGTGGTCTGTAAATAAACGAGTCTGGACCAGACAATCCAGTGATTGACATCATGAGCATCAATCTATGCAACTGGGATACAATGACATGTGACAACCAAGTCTGAGAGCCTGACCACCCGATCCCATTAGTCACCTCTTACTACAAGTGGGTTGCTGAAGACTAATTCTAACCTGGATCTTCACAGGTCTTTTTAACTCTACCACTGGTATTAAAGCCATGGCTCAGAAAATTTTATCAAAAAGGATTTAAACCCAAACCTCCTGCAAAATGAGAGGAGAGACGAACCCCTGAGCCACCCTACCTTGTTATAGCTGAGTGAAATGTGTCTCTCTTTAAGCAACACTGACCTTGATCGCTCGTGGGTTCCTGGCAGGTGAAGCCACAGCCATTGCCACAGCACTTGTTGCTGCCTGCACAGTCTCCATCATGGTTGCACTCTGGAACACACGCTGCCTTGAAGCCGGACATGGTCTTCTTGCTGGGACAGCTGCCCACCTTGGACTCAGCTGCTTTAGCCAGGAATGAACAGCTCCTCCTGCAGCTGGCATAGTTGGGATACTTCACCTGAAACATCCAGGGATGGAAATAACTTTAAAATTGCTAGTGTACTCTGGTACAGTGGCACATATAAAATCACTTGCCCTGATAATTTTTCAACTATACCGGCCGATTTTCTTGTTGATCTTTTAAATAATAATCACATTCCAGTTCTTAATGGGTTGTTATGACTCACTCACATATTCAGTGAACTGGACCATATCACTGCCTGAATTCAAGTTTTAGTTTGTGATCATTAGAATCAATATTCATGAATCGTTTGAAAAGGAGTGTTTTTACTTGAAATTGGGTGCTATTTATGTAAATGAGATGTGCAAAATGAAAAATATCCAAGCGAGGCGGTATACTAGCCAACACTCAGTTTGACAGTAAGGTGGTCACTGGTCATTGTCATGATACATTAACATTGTCAACATGGTCAAACAATTTTTTTGAAATTGGTTCACTGAATATAATGAGTATTTAAACAACTGCTTCAATTTGTTTTTGTATTTATACCTAATATTCCTATTCATTACCCAACATTTGGGCTTCATAGTGGATTCACTGCAATCCTAGTTCTTACAAAAAAATATTTATCGTGAAGTTCTACAGTGCAACAGCAGGGCTCCAGATAATTTTTCAACATCAGGAGTATGTACTCCTTATTTTTTCAATACAGGAGTACTGGAAAACCTTAAGAGTACGTTTAGAGTACTGAATGGAATGTAATGGAGTATCAGTAATCTTGTGTTTCGTTTCAATTATATGCACCACAACATTGCTACTCTTGTGTAAACACGTCAATAAACAATAAAACAATAATTTTTCAGATAAATAAGTCTGTAAATAATTCTAAGACCGTACACCAATGTTGTGGTGCGTATCTGCTACGTTTTCTAAACTATTTTCTAAGTGCATATTTTTTATCCGTATATACGCCGATACGGCCCTTATCTGGAGCCCTGCAACAGCATAGTTAAAGGTGTGCGTGCGTGTGTGTGCACATGCTTCAGTTAGTTGCCTGTCCTGGCAAATCTGAATAAAGTCTGTCCAAATCTTTGTTGTATGACTGCACACTCACTTTTCATGTTATACTCATGGAAACAAATAAGGGAACACATGAAAGTACCCATGTTCCTTTATTTATTTCCAGAATTTCACCCACTGTGCAATACATACCTTGTGAAGATGGTATGGTTAAACTGTAGTGCACATATTTACCAAACTTCAGTATGGTAATATATGTAGACCGAAGCATATTGATCTTGTCAATATTTGGGTAAACCAATATCGGAATTTTAATATTTTTCATGCAGTACTGATGCTTAAAAGATTATGGAATTTCAGAACACAGGTTACACCATAAAATAACTATATGCTTTATAATTATTAAAAGAATTAATTCTACTAAGGGATGGAAAGACAGCTAAGACTAAATATTAACAGAAACAAAAATGAGTGAATCACAGAAAAGGGCAATGCTTTCAAATGTGCAAGGCTTCACGTCATAGTGCATGTTGTGTTTCTGAGAATAACTTAACATGGAATCTTAAGACAAGTAATAAATTAATTGATATGACTATGATGACTTGTGAACCACGGCAGTCACCATTGGAAAAGAGCTCAAGGTTGAAACTGAAGGTGAAGAAGGAAAGCTGTCAGTGGAATACTTACACCAATACTTACATCACAGTCATATTTGCAGTTGTCTAGGGAGGTGTAGTTCTTGCCAGGTGATCGATCACATACAAACAGACACTGAAACATAAATAACAACATTAAATATGACAGGCCATGGCAGTTACAACAATGTAGTTAGAGTTTCCACCAACATAATATTATGGTGACAAAGAAGGCTGGCTTAAACTGTCAATGAATGATGAAAACTAGCTTCATAAAATTGAAAGTTGGAGTAACTGCAATTTCATTTTTGCTATATTTTGCCTAAATTACCTTTAGATTATAAAACAATTATGCTTACCTAGTGTGTTTGGCAGTGTGTTTCTAAGATTACCAAAATATGGATTGTCAGGGATATGAATGGAACAAAAACAACATATTACAGACACATAAGTCTTAAGGGATTTATTCCCACTTTTGGCAGTCCCACTTTTGGCAGTTATATTTCACACCTGGTTAACAAGCTAGAACTGTTGTCCTGATTTTGGCAGTTTATGACTCACACCTCATAATTAACATATGTTATATTTGGGATTACACTTTCTTAGTAAAACATATGTTACATTTCACCACTTTCTAAAATGGCATTGTGTATTTAATACCTCATAATTAGCCCTTTGACACCTCGTTAATGAGTCTTAATTGATTTAATCAACTCCTATGTAGAGTGAAGAAGAGAACAGAATAACAAATAATTTTATAGGTGATGATTATTTTGTTCACAATACATTTGCAAAGTATTTCTAATGTTCAATCACACCAGCCAGCAGACTGCCTCAAGCATTGGTGATGGGGTGTTTGGGGTAGCGACTTGGCTCTGTCCTTTCTCTTCCATAGTGAGCATAAGTGTAACAAGAAATTCAGTTCAAATCTATATATACTCTGTCTACATAAAACATCCTTCTTTTCTAGTATGTGAGATGAACTTCCCTACCTCTAACCTCTTTACTTTTACAAACCTCATCAGTGCCTAATTGATCCTAATTGTCCCAGTAGCAAATTAGTTACCACCTTACTGACGAGAACTAATTGATCTTAATTGTTCACACCAGTTGTCCCAGTTTTGGCAGTGAGATACAACAACTGCATGGTCCAGTGCACAACAGACTGCCAAAAAAGGGAAATCACCGTCTTAAGGGGTTTATTGCCTATTACAACCATGTTTTGACACCTGAACTATTTTGTTTAGCCATAGGCTGCCAACGGATGAAGAAAGGTCCATTGTGCACAGTAAACTGTAAGCGGTTTTCTCAAAATCCTGCGTATTTCACCAATAAGCAAAATATATCAGTCCCCATCATTTTAAATTCCTATAAATAGGAAAGACCTATCTTCATCTGGCACATAGGATCATTTCTACAAAGTTTGACATGAAAAGTTAACTTCAACAAGCCAACTGCTCAATTCAAACTTGTAGATAATAAACTCTATTTGGGGAGACGCCCCACATGGATACAATGTGTGAAGTCCATTTCTAGCATTTCCTGTCGTGATATTGCTGGAATATTTGGGAAAGAGGCATAAAACCTCACTCACTATTTGGTCACTCGCTCATTCGTGTACTCAGTGAGTGCATCACTGTAAGGTGAAGTCATGTGCACTCATGGACACTTGGTAAAAAATGTCTCAGCAAGGGACAGTTTCCTTGTGGTGTTCTTGCCTGATAACAATGGTATTTAAAGTGATCATGTTTAATCTATAGATACAGCAGCCCACACTGTTCTGACTGAAAAAAATCTACATATTCAAGGACTACTTGCTTATCAAATACCTGTGACACTGCACGTAAACAATGTACCAAGACGTACTTGAGTCATGAGGGTTAAATTTATGGATTATATGTTACACTGACCAATACTGTAAATCATGAAATTAATGCGTCACAAATTTAATTCGAGTGCAAGGGTCTAGTCTAAAATGCGTCACGAAATTAATGCGAGCTCAGGAATCTGTGTTGATGATAAAATGAATTGAGCTTGTAAAGCAATGAATGGAAATGAGCTGGCGATGTTTTGATTACGCTGCCAAGTTTGATCACGTGATTGCTTGCTACTACTTGTCTTATGACAACATGTAAAACGTAATCCAACTTGAAAGACACAAGTCATCGACCAAGGTACAACAAACACGTGGCTGGAGAATGTCCGGTCTGGCTGATGTGCTTGAGTGACTTTAAACAATGACCAGTGATTGTAACCAGTGATAATTACATGTGGCTTGCCAACAGATTTACGTTTTCTGTCTTTTATTAAGTAGACATGGTCAGACTGAAATGGCGTCATTATAATAATGCGAGAAGAGCACAGACGCATTTTTCGCATTGATAAAATGCTCGCATTAATTTCATGATTTACAGTATCTGTAAATTAAAGTCCAATCCTATTATTGTCAAATTTACTTTCAAATAGTCTTAAGCATAATATGACTGTCAATTTCATATGACATCTCTGAAATTACACTTTTCAGTCCACTGGGATTCATTCAGCGCCGTTCAGCAGTCATATTTAATCTGCAAATGAGGTGCTATACAAATCAATTATCATTTAATTCGTAGCTTGAATTACTTTTGTAATGGAATAAATGGTTATCCTTATCCACATGAGATTCCTCGGTAAAATCCTAGGAACAAAGTCCTCTTTAACAGTGATGCACCTTAATCGGAATAAAACTGGAGCAGGTATTGTACTATCTCATAACCTCAAAATGTCCTCTATTCAAACAGCTGTACTCTGATCTATGAAGATGGCTGTTTTTCTCCAAGCTGGAGATACAAATATATCAGAGATATAAAAGCCATTCATGTATCCTAACAATGCATTTACTGTGCAATTTCATACCTACAATGTTGGGTTGAATTATGCAAAAGCTTGTGATGTCCTTTTGCGTTACAAATCAAGAGTGAAACTAGTCACTTTAAGTGAGGGTGTTTCTTCATGTTCGGTGAAAACAGGTTTGATCAACTTCCATCTACAGCTTAAATTGGTCACTGTGTAGCATTTCTCAGTAGTCACCAGAAACTGCGTTGACGGTTGGAATGTGGTGATTTTGGCATTCATGCCCATACATAGATTGTGTGGTCTTTTGCATGTACATGTATGTTGTTAATAGCAATAGTTTATGCATATTCTATACAGGAACTGTATTGTCCTCTGTACATTCTATACAGGAATTGTGTTGTCCTCTGTACATTCTATACAGGAACTGTATTGTCCTCTGTACATTCTATACAGGAACTGTATTGTCCTCTGTACATTCTATACAGGAACTGTGTTGTCCTCTGTACAGTCTACACAGGAATTGTGTTGTCCTCTATACATTCTATACAGGAACTGTATTGTCCTCTGTACATTCTATACAGGAATTGTATTGTCCTCTGTACATTCTATACAGGAATTGTATTGTCCTCTGTACATTCTATACAGGAACTGTATTGTCCTCTGTACATTCTATACAGGAATTGTATTGTCCTCTGTACATTCTATACAGGAATTGTATTGTCCTCTGTACATTCTATACAGGAACTGTATTGTCCTCTGTACATTCTATACAGGAATTGTATTGTCCTTTGCATGTTTATGTACATTCTATACAGGAACTATATTGTCCTCTGTACATTCTATACAGGAATTGTGTTGTCCTCTGTACATTCTATACAGGAACTGTATTGTCCTTTGCATGTTTATGTACATTCTATACAGGAACTGTATTGTCCTCTGTACATTCTATACAGGAACTATATTGTCCTCTGTACATTCTATACAGGAACTGTATTGTCCTCTGTACATTCTATACAGGAACTGTATTGTCCTTTGCATGTTTATGTACATTCTATACAGGAACTGTATTGTCCTCTGTACATTCTATACAGGAACTGTGTTGTCCTCTGTACATTCTATACAGGAACTGTATTGTCCTTTGCATGTTTATGTACATTCTATACAGGAACTATATTGTCCTCTGTACATTCTATACAGGAACTGTGTTGTCCTCCGTACATTCTATACAGGAACTGTATTGTCCTTTGCATGTTTATGTACATTCTATACAGGAACTATATTGTCCTCTGTACATTCTATACAGGAACTGTATTGTCCTTTGCATGTTTATGTACATTCTTTACAGGAACTGTATTGTCCTCTGTACATTCTATACAGGAACTGTATTGTCCTTTGCATGTTTATGTACATTCTATACAGGAACTGTATTGTCCTCTGTACATTCTATACAGGAACTGTATTGTCCTCTGTACATTCTATACAGGAACTGTATTGTCCTTTGCATGTTTATGTACATTCTATACAGGAACTATATTGTCCTCTGTACATTCTATACAGGAATTGTGTTGTCCTCTGTACATTCTACACAGGAACTGTGTTGTCCTCTGTACATTCTATACAGGAACTGTATTGTCCTTTGCATGTTTATGTACATTCTATACAGGAACTGTATTGTTCTCTGTACATTCTATACAGGAACTGTATTGTCCTTTGCATGTTTATGTACATTCTATACAGGAACTATATTGTCCTCTGTACGTTCTATACAGGAACTATATTGTCCTCTGTACATTCTATACAGGAATTGTATTGTCCTCTGTACATTCTATACAGGAATTGTGTTGTCCTCTGTACATTCTATACAGGAACTGTATTGTCCTCTGTACATTCTATACAGGAATTGTATTGTCCTCTGTACATTCTATACAGGAACTGTATTGTCCTCTGTACATTCTATACAGGAATTGTATTGTCCTCTGTACATTCTATACAGGAACTGTATTGTCCTCTGTACATTCTATACAGGAATTGTATTGTCCTCTGTACATTTTATACAGGAACTGTATTGTCCTCTGTACATTCTATACAGGAATTGTATTGTCCTCTGTACATTCTATACAGGAATTGTATTGTCCTCTGTACATTCTATACAGGAACTGTATTGTCCTCTGTACATTCTATACAGGAACTGTGTTGTCCTCTGTACATTCTATACAGGAACTGTATTGTCCTTTGCATGTTTATGTACATTCTATACAGGAACTGTATTGTTCTCTGTACATTCTATACAGGAACTGTATTGTCCTCTGTACATTCTATACAGGAACTGTATTGTCCTTTGCATGTTTATGTACATTCTATACAGGAACTGTATTGTCCTCTGTACATTCTATACAGGAACTGTATTGTCCTTTGCATGTTTATGTACATTCTACACAGGAACTGTATTGTCCTCTGTACATTCTATACAGGAACTGTATTGTCCTTTGCATGTTTATGTACATTCTATACAGGAACTGTATTGTCCTCTGTACATTCTATACAGGAACTGTATTGTCCTTTGCATGTTTATGTACATTCTATACAGGAACTGTATTGTTCTCTGTACATTCTATACAGGAACTGTATTGTCCTCTGTACATTCTATACAGGAACTGTATTGTCCTTTGCATGTTTATGTACATTCTATACAGGAACTGTATTGTCCTCTGTACATTCTATACAGGAACTGTATTGTCCTTTGCATGTTTATGTACATTCTATACAGGAACTGTATTGTCCTCTGTACATTCTATACAGGAACTGTATTGTCCTTTGCATGTTTATGTACATTCTACACAGGAACTGTATTGTCCTCTGTACATTCTATACAGGAACTGTATTGTCCTTTGCATGTTTATGTACATTCTATACAGGAACTGTATTGTCCTCTGTACATTCTATACAGGAATTGTATTGTCCTCTGTACATTCTATACAGGAACTGTATTGTCCTCTGTACATTCTATACAGGAATTGTATTGTCCTCTGTACATTCTATACAGGAACTGTATTGTCCTCTGTACATTCTATACAGGAATTGTATTGTCCTCTGTACATTTTATACAGGAACTGTATTGTCCTCTGTACATTCTATACAGGAATTGTATTGTCCTCTGTACATTCTATACAGGAATTGTATTGTCCTCTGTACATTCTATACAGGAACTGTATTGTCCTCTGTACATTCTATACAGGAACTGTGTTGTCCTCTGTACATTCTATACAGGAACTGTATTGTCCTTTGCATGTTTATGTACATTCTATACAGGAACTGTATTGTTCTCTGTACATTCTATACAGGAACTGTATTGTCCTCTGTACATTCTATACAGGAACTGTATTGTCCTTTGCATGTTTATGTACATTCTATACAGGAACTGTATTGTCCTCTGTACATTCTATACAGGAACTGTATTGTCCTTTGCATGTTTATGTACATTCTATACAGGAACTGTATTGTCCTCTGTACATTCTATACAGGAACTGTATTGTCCTTTGCATGTTTATGTACATTCTACACAGGAACTGTATTGTCCTCTGTACATTCTATACAGGAACTTTATTGTCCTTTGCATGCTTATGTACATTCTATACAGGAACTGTATTGTCCTCTGTACATTCTATACAGGAAATGTATTGTCCTTTGCATGTTTATGTACATTCTATATAGGAACTGTATTGTTCTTTGCATGCTTATGTACATTCTATACAGGAACTGTATTGTCCTTTGGATGTTTATGTACATTCTATTCTGGAACTATATTTCTATTGCATGTTTATGCACATTCTATACGGGAACTGTATTGTCCTTTGCATGTTTATGCACATTCTACACAGGAACTGTATTGTCCTTTGCATGTTTTTGCACATTCTATATAGGAACTGTATTGTCCTTTGCATGTTTTTGCACATTCTATACAGGAACTATATTTCTATTGCATGTTTATGTACATTCTATACAGAAACTGTATTGTCCTTTGCATGTTTATGCACATTCTATACAGGAACTGTATTGTCCTTTGCATGTTTATGTACATTCTATATAGGAACTGTATTGTCCTTTGCATGTTTATGTACATTCTATATAGGAACTGTATTGTTCTTTGCATGCTTATGTACATTCTATACAGGAACTGTATTGTCCTTTGGATCTTTATGCACATTCTATTCTGGAACTATATTTCTATTGCATGTTTATGCACATTCTATACGGGAACTGTATTGTCCTTTGCATGTTTATGCACATTCTATACAGGAACTGTATTGTCCTTTGCATGTTTATGTACATTCTATATAGGAACTGTATTGTCCTTTGCATGTTTATGTACATTCTATATAGGAACTGTATTGTTCTTTGCATGCTTATGTACATTCTATACAGGAACTGTATTGTCCTTTGGATGTTTATGCACATTCTATTCTGGAACTATATTTCTATTGCATGTTTATGTACATTCTATACGGGAACTGTATTGTCCTTTGCATGTTTATGCACATTCTATACAGGAACTGTATTGTCCTTTGCATGTTTTTGCACATTCTATACAGGAACTATATTTCTATTGCATGTTTATGTACATTCTATACAGAAACTGTATTGTCCTTTGCATGTTTATGCACATTCTATACAGGAACTGTATTGTCCTTTGGATGTTTATGCACATTCTATTCTGGAACTATATTTCTATTGCATGTTTATGCACATTCTATACGGGAACTGTATTGTCCTTTGCATGTTTATGCACATTCTACACAGGAACTGTATTGTCCTTTGCATGTTTTTGCACATTCTATACAGGAACTGTATTGTCCTTTGCATGTTTTTGCACATTCTATACAGGAACTATATTTCTATTGCATGTTTATGTACATTCTATACAGAAACTGTATTGTCCTTTGCATGTTTATGCACATTCTATACAGGAACTGTATTGTCCTTTGCATGTTGATGTACATTCTATATAGGAACTGTATTGTCCTTTGCATGTTTATGTACATTCTATATAGGAACTGTATTGTTCTTTGCATGCTTATGTACATTCTATACAGGAACTGTATTGTCCTTTGGATCTTTATGCACATTCTATTCTGGAACTATATTTCTATTGCATGTTTATGCACATTCTATACGGGAACTGTATTGTCCTTTGCATGTTTATGCACATTCTATACAGGAACTGTATTGTCCTTTGCATGTTTATGTACATTCTATACAGGAACTGTATTGTCCTTTGCATGTTTATGCACATTCTATACAGGAACTGTATTGTCCTTTGCATGTTTATGTACATTCTATATAGGAACTGTATTGTTCTTTGCATGCTTATGTACATTCTATACAGGAACTGTATTGTCCTTTGGATGTTTATGCACATTCTATTCTGGAACTATATTTCTATTGCATGTTTATGTACATTCTATACGGGAACTGTATTGTCCTTTGCATGTTTATGCACATTCTATACAGGAACTGTATTGTCCTTTGCATGTTTTTGCACATTCTATACAGGAACTATATTTCTATTGCATGTTTATGCACATTCTAATCAGGAACTGTATTGTCCTTTGCATGTTTATGCACTTTCTATACAGGAGCTATATTGTCCTTTGCATGTTTTTGCACATTCTATACAGAAACTGTATTGTCCTTTGCATGTTTTTGCACATTCTATACAGGAACTATATTTCTATTGCATGTTTATGTACATTCTATACAGAAACTGTATTGTCCTTTGCATGTTTATGCACATTCTATACAGGAACTGTATTGTCCTTTGCATGTTTATGTACATTCTATATAGGAACTGTATTGTCCTTTGCATGTTTATGCACATTCTATATAGGAACTGTATTGTCCTTTGCATGTTTATGCACATTCTACACAGGTTTGTATTGTCCTTTGCATGTTTATGTACATTCTATACAGGAACTGTATTGTCCTTTGCACGTTTTTGCACATTCTATACAGGAGCTATATTGTCCTTTGCATGTTTATGTACATTCTATACAGGAACTATATTTCTATTGCATGTTTATGCACATTCTACACAGGAACTGTATTGTCCTTTGCATGTTTATGCATTCTTCTGTATATGCATGAAATCGTATCCAATATAATCACCAACATTATGATGAATCATAACATTTTTACACACAGGTGTCCCAACTGCTGGGTATTACTTACAGTTTTGCAGTCTCTGATTTTCTGGCAATTTCTTATCAAATTTGAAGATCCAGTCCTTGTCCTGTTTGGGTTCTGAAACCGAAAGTTGGACACTTAAAGATAATTGTGTGAATGTCAACATGTTAGATTTAAAGAAAAGACACAAAAATCCATGTTCAGCTACTAGTAGTTACAAAAGTAAAGATGTAATAGACTTTTGAAACCAAGAGACATTTTTGATTAAATAATAAATTTATTGACAGCATTTCTTGACAATGGTTCCATTTATTACATACTTTCAAAACAAATTGAACATTTTGAAAATGACAATCATGAACCTCAAGATGTTGACAAAACCTTCATTCCCACAACAAGCCAATCAGCTTATACCCTGATATACGTGAAATGTACATTTGACACATAAAGACAGCCAAGACAAAAGACACCCTTGCCATACTCCCTGTACCTAAGTATTCAAATGGATATGTTTGAAAAAGTAAATTACATCATGTCAAGAGCACACTATAACAACAGCCTTCTGAAATCCCTAAATACACCACCAATCTGCACCAAGCATAACCTCAAGTGCTTGTAATCAAAAGTCTATGACTCTGGTGCATTACAGATGCAAAAACCCTGTATGTTTATAGTGAATAAAGACAATGTATACACTGGTGCGCTGTCCTGATTGTATATTTGAGAGAGCTGTGGCAAACAGCGCCACAAGTGTCACCAACAACCTCCTCCAGATGCAAACAATACTCTTACCCTAATATCCCATGCCTAGTAACAGCTGGAAGGTAAATATATGCCATACTCACTGGACAGCATGCTAAAGTTCTTGGACACTCTTTCTTCAAGATGTTATGGAGTATTATACACCAAATGGGGTATTATATATTGTTTGTTCTACAATTTCAAGCAGTACAGTACATGCATGTGATAGACCTAGTGATTTACTTGCAATAACTTTTATCAAATTTCCTCACAAAACTCAGTGAGTGTTTTGTTACATGGCTGTAAGCATTAAGAATGACCATTAAACTACTAGAGCTGATAAGAAGGAAATTCAAACTGACTACAATTATCATCTTCACTGTACAATGCCATTTCCATGTATGCCAGGGGACACTTATTAAGATGTTAAGGTATCTGCTTTTAGATGTAAGATGTAAAGGTATCTGCTTTTAGATGTACGATAGTTGCTTTTAGATGCAAGATGTTAAGGTATATGATTTTAGATGTAAAATGTAAAGGTATTTGCTTTTAGATGTAAGATAGTTGCTTTTAGATGCAAGATGTTAAGGTATCTGCTTTTAGATGCAAGATGTTAAGGTATATGATTTTAGATGTAAGATGTTAAGGTAGTTGCTTTTAGATGTAAGATAGTTGCTTTTAGACGCAAGATGTTAAGGTATATGATTTTAGATGTAAGATGTTTAGGTAGTTGCTTTTAGATGTAAGATAGTTGCTTTTAGATGCAAGATGTTAAGGTATCTGCTTTTAGATGCAAGATGTTAAGGTATATGATTTTAGATGCAAGATGTTAAGGTATATGATTTTAGATGTAAGATGTTTATGTAGTTGCTTTTAGATGTAAGACGTTAAGGTATATGATTTTAGATGCAAGATGTTAAGGTATATGATTTTAGATGTAAGATGTTTAGGTAGTTGCTTTTAGATGCAAGATGTTAAGGTATATGATTTTAGATGCAAGATGTTAAGGTATATGATTTTAGATGTAAGATGTTAAGGTATATGATTTTAGATGTAAGATGTTTAGGTAGTTGCTTTTAGATGCAAGATGTTAAGGTATATGATTTTAGATGTAAGATGTTAAGGTAGTTGCTTTTAGATGCAAGATGTTAAGGTATATGATTTTAGATGTAAGATGTTAAGGTAGTTGCTTTTAGATGCAAGATGTTAAGGTATATGATTTTAGATGCAAGATGTTAAGGTATATGATTTTAGATGTAAGATAGGTGCTTTTAGATGCAAGATGTTAAGGTATATGATTTTAGATGCAAGATGTTAAGGTATATGATTTTAGATGCAAGATGTTAAGGTATATGATTTTAGATGTAAGATGTTAAGGTATATGATTTTAGATGTAAGATGTTTAGGTAGTTGCTTTTAGATGTAAGATAGTTGCTTTTAGATGCAAGATGTTAAGGTATATGATTTTAGATGCAAGATGTTAAGGTATATGATTTTAGATGCAAGATGTTAAGGTATATGATTTTAGATGTAAGATGTTAAGGTATATGATTTTAGATGCAAGATGTTAAGGTATATGATTTTAGATGTAAGATGTTAAGGTATATGATTTTAGATGCAAGATGTTAAGGTATATGATTTTAGATGTAAGATGTTAAGGTATATGATTTTAGATGCAAGATGTTAAGGTATATGATTTTAGATGCAAGATGTTAAGGTATATGATTTAGATGCAAGATGTTAAGGTATATGATTTTAGATGTAAGATGTTAAGGTATATGATTTTAGATGCAAGATGTTAAGGTATATGATTTTAGATGCAAGATGTTAAGGTATATGATTTTAGATGTAAGATGTTAAGGTATATTATTTTAGATGTAAGATGTTAAGGTATATGATTTTAGATGTAAGATGTTAAGGTATATGATTTTAGATGTAAGATGTTAAGGTATATGATTTTAGATGTAAGATGTTAAAGGTCACATGCAACATAAAACACAACTTTGCAGATTCTGATACCTTTCGGTATGGACTTACCGAAACAAATCATCAAAAATGCAAATTCAACTTATAAAGTTGAAAAATAACGTGATGAAAAAAACCGCGCGAAATCGGAGTTCATACGTTTCACTAATTTTCCCCAGACTTTTCTGGGGAAAACGGGTTTCAACAGCTGGGCTGCGCTCATAGCACGTGCGCAGTGAAATAGGTTCGCGCAGCTTGGAAGCGGGTTGTCCGGTGAATACTCGGTGAAGGCTTTGGTGTGAGCTATTTTTCTAATGTTTCGTTGATATCTCACAGGCACGAGCTTTTTATATGTTATGACAGTAAATTAACTGTTTATATAATTTCACCACACGTTCTTCTTACCGAGTCACTTTCTCAGTTCGATACTTAAAAGCAATGTCATTATTTAGCGTTGACAGAATTTCTAACTGTGATATAGATATGTCGTTGTCACAGACAAAACTCAATGTCTTGTTTTATTGACACCTGTGTGTCTGCCTGCCTGTCTGCTAATGACAATATTCAATACACAACTGCGATCACTGACCACATGCAATTTGAACTTAACACCAATCAGGCTATACACCATAAACAAAATGCATTGATTTATGGCCCGAGTTCGGTCTCTGTCACATTATGTAATTACACAGACAGGCAGGTGTGATAGTTGAACACTTGACATGTTATGATGTCTGTTGATTGCAAAATGTTATACACAAAAAATGAGCATGTATTTACAAAACCCAACATCTCTACATATACACACACAATAAGCCGTGAGGGCATACGCAAATGAACCAGCCGTTACACTTGAGTGCACACCCACCCGCTCTGACTGGGTTCGGTATCCCGGCTGCTTCGTTTCTTGGGAAGTAAACCCAAGTACACAATATTGCACTTTTGATTTGCGATTGTATGCTTATAATTTTGTTTATATGTTTTTTCATAACCAGCAATGTATATTATATGTCACGAATAAGTGATAATTGTGTTTTAATTATGTTTGATTTTTTGGTTGCATGTGACCTTTAAGGTAGTTGCTTTTAGATGTAAGATAGTTGCTTTTAGATGCAAGATGTTAAGGTATATGATTTTAGATGTAAGATGTTAAGATAGTTGCTTTTAGATGTAAGATTGTTGCTTTTAGATGTAAGATGTTAAGGTATATGATTTTAGATGTAAAATGTAAAGGTATTTGCTTTTAGATGTAAGATAGTTGCTTTTAGATGCAAGATGTTAAGGTATCTGCTTTTAGATGCAAGATGTTAAGGTATATGATTTTAGATATAAGATGTTAAGGGTTGCTTTTAGATGTAAGATAGTTGCTTTTAGATGCAAGATGTTAAGGTATCTGCTTTTAGATGCAAGATGTTAAGGTATATGATTTTAGATGTAAGATGTAAAGGTATTTGCTTTTAGATGTAAGATAGTTGCTTTTAGATGTTAAGGTATCTGCTTTTAGATGTAAGATGTAAAGGTATTTGCTTTTAGATGCAAGTTGTTAAGGCATTTGCTTTTAGACGTAAGTGTGCCCAACTTGTCACTGACACAATATTATACGGTGCCAGTCATAGTTTAGGTGATGATATTTCACCACCTCTACAGAACAACATGGCCGACAGAAGCTACAAATGTCACAGCTATCTACACAACCTGCACCACAATATGGACAAGGGAAGGGTTTTCCTCTTTCTATTTTCATACCAACACTGCACAAAAGATGTAATAAAGTGGAAAATCTGCCTGTATGTGCTTTTAAAAGCTGCTAAATGTCAATTAAACCAGTGCTGAACATGGGTAATCTAGCAGTGTGGATCTCTAGCAAAGGAAATATCCTCTTCCTTGACAGCCTTCACAAACAAGGTGTTTAAAAATATTCACACAAAGAGAGCCAATGACTTGCAGATTTTGGAACAAAACACAATAAATTCTTTCTTTTCACTGCATTTTTACCAGATAAACATTTAACTATACATCACTGTAGCTTTAGAAGAATGAGATGATGTCGTGATTATGATCTATCAGAGGGTGTATTGTGTCCTCTCTATGGTCCATGTAACAAGCACATTGAACACGGAGCGTAACTGACACCTAAGAAGTTAAGAAGAGAAGTTCTATTTATTCAACAAAATTGGCAAAAAAGTGAAAGCGCTCTTCACCACCTACATAAATTTACATGAAAGAGTTACAGTGAAATGGGCAAGCTTATTCACATGACAACACCCAAGGAGTTACACTGTGGATGAATGCAACTGCGATTTGCAAGTCATCTTGTCGCATTGTGTTGTTTCAAGTGCATATTTTCGGAAATCTTACACCATCAATAATCACCCTCCCTTTACATTCCTAGACTGTGGAGCTTCTGACGC